TTTGAAGTGTGAAATAAAAAATCTGAAAATTAGCGAAAGTGAGACATCGCAAAAATGAAAGGTTGTAAACTTCCGCGATTATCCCAGCGCTTGTTGAGAAAGTCTATCGAGTATAAAGTAGTATCGAAAGCATAGCTGCTGGAAAGAGGAACAAATTTTGCATAGGAAACTGCTCAAAGCGTAGTTTTTTCTTACTGTAACTGAGTTAGAGTTGGTCCAAAAAACGGAAAGAATTCTTGCACCGGACTAATGTTTTCCGAACAATAATATCTTCAATATTCTATCGTACCCTATAGCTGAGCAGGCGTTCCGTCAAAACAAAAAGCGAGAGCATTCTAAGTTGTTAATCTTTGAACAATAACTTCCTTAAATGAGTTTCAGTGAAAAGCTGTAGCTCTATTGGAAAGTCTCATAGGTTCGCAGAGTTTTTATATGAAATAACGAAGTGACAAGATTTCGTCATAGTTAGTTACCAACGTATTTTTTGATGTTGCGCACAACCTTCTGCCACTTTCCACCTTTCAATCCCGTTTCCTCGGGGCTTCATTTGCCATAAACTCACAGGCTTCCAATCGCGCCACATTGAAAAATTGTAATGTAAAAAATGTCAAAATACCCAAACTTGTGCTCAGTTAGTTTAGCGTTATATCGTCTTGATATAACTGATCTTTAAGATCCTCTTCCGACATCGTCGCATCAACAGCCGCTACTTGGTCTTTAGCCAAATGCGCGTTGTGAGAGGACAGGTATATGTGTTCGGAAATATAAACTTTTCGCTCAACTTTTCTTGGATACATGTCCTAAAAACACATTTTCATTCTAGGTATGGAATCTGCATGAATGTCTTGTCAGGAACGAACCTCCGGCCGCATTACAACACAAAGAGCCGATTTTGGTCACCAGAAGGTGAGTATGAGCAGAACAACCAGCTGCTGAGTGGCCGCTGAAGGCCTCCAAGAACTTGAAAATTTCAATGGGTCCTTCTGAAGACTTTCACCATTTCGCGAAATAAAAGTATAAATTGGCAGAAGAAGCCGTGAATGGCTCTTTTACTAAGAAAGAAGGTTGTATATTGAACC